TAGAACTGTCCTCATGTGACACCTCCCATCCCCTCTCCTGCTGTACTGGGAACCCACATCATCTCCACCTGGGTGATTGCTTTCCTAATGGCTTTCCTGCTTCTCTCTATTCTCCCAAAGCACAGCAAAGATGATCCATTAGAAACAAGACAGATCACCATTGAAGTGCCCCAAATGATCGAAAGAAAAGGCAACATCTTCTCCTTGTCCTACAAAGAAGGTCCCTTGTCAAGCCCCTAACCCTCTTCTGAGCTTGTCTGTTCCATCCTAAGGTCTATCTTGTTCCCCTAAGCAGCCCCATCTGCTCCAGTAGTCACTGTTCCTTGTGCTCAGGATGTGAGTCCATTCTTCACCAGACACATCTGCTTGCTCAACTTGTTCCCTCAACTTCTTCAGGTCTCTACTTGAATGTCAAGCTTTCTTGTGAGAACATGCATTTTCAACCATGCATTTCCAGAGTATTAACCACCCCCATAAAGGCATCCATCCTCCTTTCTGTAATTTTCCCTACAGCACCAAGCACCATCTACATTTGACTTACTACTTTATCATTTGACTCTGCACCAACATATAAACTTCCAGGGATAGGGCTTGGGTTGTTACATTCTTTCAAAATTCTCAACTGTCAGAAAGCTATCTGGCAGCTAGAACTTCAGAAAATATTACAAAACATGAGGCTCCAGTGTGTATCCCTCAATGCACTGTAATTTACTGTAACATTGCCAAATGCCAGGCACAGCTAACTTAAAAGAAAGGTTTACTCTGGTTCAGTTTCAGAGGTTTTGATCTGTAGTCATTTAGTCCTACTGCTGTGGGCCTGTGGTGAGGCAGGAAATCGTACAACTCACAACAAGATGGTGGCCAGAACAAAGAGAAAGTGGGAAGGGGCTGGGACAAGGTGACTCTTCCCAAAGCATGCCTCAGTAACTGACTTCCTCCAACAAAGCCTCTCCTCTCTAGTTTCCTCCATCTCCCAAAATAGCACCAGATGGGGAAGAAACCTTCAACACATGGGCCTGTGAGAGACAATTTATACTGTTAACGAATGATTATGTCTGATTTTGTTGCTAAGGATTAATGGCTCTGCAATCCTCTCATTGCTGGCAGAGGCCGGGTGAAGGTGCGAGCTGCTTCTATAGACAGAGAGGGGCCTGCTACTGAAAAGAGGCCAAGGTGTGGGGAGCATGTGGGCCTCTGCCAGGAGGCATGGAAGAGCTCCCAAAAGGCAGGAGCTGAGGGTGGGTCCAAGTCTTTAAGAGATGGTCCATGGAAAGAAGCTGCCTTGGGGAGAGGGGGATGACTCTACAGCATCAATAACATGACAGATCTACTTTTGATTTCATTACCAGAGCCACTGTAGACCCAGACAGGTAGCTTTCCTAAAACAAAGACGGGCAAGGTCATCCCAAATGTTTGAAGTGAGTGAAGCCCAGAGCCATTGCCTTGATGAGGAGCAAGTTCTCCCCTTTGGACAAGAACAATCTATACTGATGAATGTACCCTAAAAGGCTTTTCTATTGTCCACACCTTCTCTGTTCTAGTTCAGAAGAAAAAAGGTACAGAAGACTGACACATAGAGAAGGGAACAACTTACCAACTCCCTTTTTGCCTTTGTGTCATAGTTAACTTCAGTTGTCAATTTCACACAAACCTACCGTCACCTGGGAAGAGCAAACCGCAACTGAAGAATTGACTCCATCAGACTGGCCCGTGGCCATGTCTGTGAGGCATTTTCTTGATTGCTAATTGATGCAGGAGGGCTCTGCCCACCATAGGCAGCCCCGGCCGAGGACAGGTGGGTCTGTGTAAGAAGGGTAGCTGAGCAAGCCGGAGGAAGCAAGCCAGTAAGCAGCGTTCCTCTGTGGTCTCTGCTTCACTTCCTGCCTCCAGGTTTCAGTCTCGGCTTCTCTTGATGATGGGTTGTAAACTGTTAAGACGAAATAAACCCTTTCCACCACAAGCTGATTTTGGTCAGTGTTTTATCACAGAGGCAGAGAAGCAAACTAGGACACTTTGTGTTTTCCCAGAAAAGTGGTGGTCATGGGAAAACCTCATGTGTTCTGCTCTTTTGCCTGAGACAGATCAAAATGTAATGCAGTCTGCCTTGTCTCAGAGCTCCCTGAGAGCGGGTGCTGCCTTCTGAATTGCTTTAGGTAATAATGGCATCTGCATAGCAGGGGAGTAATGTGAGAAATAAATAATAAAAGGATGAATAAATAGAATGTAGTTCATTGACTTAGCTCCTTACATTCAAATGTCCCCTGTCCCTGTCCTGAACTTGATCCAAGTACTCTGTGCTAAGCCCCAGAATCTTCCAAGTTTTTGAGGAGCAATAGCTCCAGTGCCTTTCTTCCCTCCCAGGATGACACAGGGGTGCTGAAAGCCATGATTAGTAGTAGTGTTACAGCTACTGGCTATAGGATGTGACTAGCACAACAGTGGCCATGGAATAACTGTGACTTCCCAGCTGCACCTCTACAATTTCTGGTCACTTGTTCCAGTGATTTTGGTGAGTTATTTATCTAAGGGAGACTCAGAGAGCCTGATGCATGCGGGACGAGTTGTCAGGAGACTGACTCAGAGGAAGTCAGTCCACCACAGGTTTGTCAGCCAGGTACCTTGAGAATGGGCATGTGAAAGGGAAAGGCAGAAAGCAAGACTGAGAAGGTCGGGTTGGAACTGAGAACTCCAGTGATCCCCTCGTTATTTGTCAGCCCAGGCCAGGTGCACATCAGGAATGAGGTGTGACCCCAGGCAAAGTGAGTCTCCTCAACTCAGGCGTTCCTAAAGAAAGCCGCTGTCCAGCCCGCTGTGCAGACAGAGCTCCCAAATGCCTGGGCCCAAAGTCCTCTCCCCCTAAAGCAGGATAATGAGCACCTGTGAGGCACAAGCATTCCCCTCATCCAATAACACAGAGGACAGTTTCCATGTCCCCAGCAAGTCTCCCCAGCTGACTTCTTTGCTCCCTTCCAGGATGGATGACAACTCTTCTGTCCCTTTACTCCTTACCACCAGTGCTGGGCACACTGCCTGGCACCCAGTAGGGATGCAATAATGTCTACAGAATAAATGTACCATTGAACATGGAACATCAGCATAAAAGCACAGATAAAGTCCTACGCAATTAAAGAAAAGCTGTCCCCAAGGAGTTCAATGTGGTTTTGAAAAGAGGAACAGGCAAAAATGACAGCAGAACTTGAAAAGACCAGTGGACAGGTGCCAAGGCACATGCCTTCAGAGCTCAGTCCTGAGCAAACCACCCGTGCAAGCTTTATTAGGACATACAAGGGCAGACTCTAGTAGCTTGAAGAAGAGGCTAGAGAGCTGAACACACTTTCCTAGTTCTGTCAAATGATGTCTTCCTTAGTGTCATTATTGACCCACATAAAATTAATTTTCATCTTGATAAGGGAGCATCCCAAGGGTCACCATGTCATACCCATGCTGTGTGAAGGACTTTGTTCAGATAGCTGAGAGTTGTGAAGCCTCCAGGAGGAAGCAGGCAGTGACCAATGTTGGCAAGGAATTTACTCTCTGTCCATGAGTGGGAAGAGACACCAAGAGGAATATCCTGTAATTAAGGAGTGTGCTGTGATTTAAAATCATGAAGAGGTGTTTCACCCTCATCAGAGCTAAGAGAAGCGGCAGAGAGATGTTCAACACAGAAGCCAGCCAGAATGCTAAAACATGGGGAAAAAATGTTAACCTAAAAAATATTGGTCCACTGTGTGGAAGAATTTTACAAATAATGCAGTTGTGAGGAAGACTCTTAGACAAATGTTATTAAACTAGTCCAAAAATTTGTGTTAACCTGTCATTTCTCTCACAGATATGTAGATACACACACCAGGCTCACAATTTCCCATCAGGCATTTGTGTATAGTTTGAGGTAGTAATGTCAGCTGTGACAATATGGAAAAGGAGGAGCTGGAGAGATCACTCAGTGATCACTCTGCAAGCATGAGGACCTAAGCGCGAATCCCCCACAACACCCACATTAAAACCTGGGCACTGCTGCAGGTGCCCACAAACTCAGTATTGCATAAAGGGGAGGAGAAAGGTGGATGCTGGGAGCTGGTAGATGAGCCAGCTTAATGGAAACAGCAAGCTTCAGGTTCAAGGAGGGACCCCGTCTCAAGGCAATATTAAGATAATAAGTCACAATGCTTGTAAAGCAAACACTGTAGGAACATTTATTTCAAACACGCCCTAATCAATGGCCTTTACTGCTAACTCACAGGCTTCCTCAGCAATCAAAGTATCATTTGATAAAGAGTAATAAGTGCACATCTTTGCATAAGCATGTCAACACTCAATTACCTGCACACAAAATATATACTGCTGATTATTTATTGGTTGCTAACTCTGCTAAACTGGGTTGTTCCTATGAACATGGATCTAACCTCTTCTTTTCCTAAAGAAGTGCGAATCTTAGTTTTACTCTAATCTGTTTTGAATTATAGCAGCTCCACATTAAACAACAACATAGGCTGAGAGATGGCTCCCTGGGTAAAGGAGCTTGCAGAATAAGCCAGACCTGAGTTCTATCCTCCTATCCACAGTGGAAGGAGAGAAGGTGGAAAGGCATCGAATGACTCCCTAAAGTTGTCTTTTAACTTCCACTCATGCATCATGGCATGCTCATGTCCTCTCTCTCTCTCTCTCTCTCTCTCTCTCTCTCTCTCTCTCTCTCTCTCTCTCTCTCTAAACATAAAATAAAAAATATATCACAAACACTCACTATTTTTTG